CGGACTTTAGTACCAAACAACCACTAGGCACAGTGTTGACTTCACATAGGATTAAGCTTCTTGGTGGTTAAAAATAATAGTAGTAATAATATAGAGGTGTGGGGCTGTTTTTCCCCTTTGGGGTATTTATTTATTGCAGGGAAAAGTCATTGATTTTCCTAAGCAAACTGTGTTTCTCCTTCGCTTGGTGGAAAATAAAAAACTGTTTGAATAAATAAGTTATTTCTGAACATTTTGTTGTCAAAGTGTTAAATGTTCCCGTCATTTTTATTCAAACACTAACATGATTACAGCCAATTATATATTCACCAGTGTTCTTTATTTTAGCGTGATTGTACTTGTCACTAATAAAACAGAGGCATAATGGATCGCTACTGTTCTGGATTTTCAAGCAATTTTGTGTAATTTGATTGAATTATACATCTTATCTGCTACTTTTTTATTTTTATATTTGGAGATCCTATTTTCTTGAAAATTGCAGTTCTATGCTTGTTTTCCTTTTTTTTTCCCGGTAACGTACATTTCGGTAATGCCGAGAAATAGAAAGAATCTCTTTGAAATGTCGGAAATCAGTTGGACACACACACACACACACACACACACACACACACACACACACACACGTATTTCAGCACCGGGAAGACTTGAACTCTATCAAGGGAGTCCGGGCAATGGCTGTGCTTTTCTGACAAGTTCAATGCCAAGGAAAACTCCCCATTCGCCCCAAAGGCAGTCACCTCCTTGCCTGATGGAGTCTTTGGGGCTTTATCTCTTTCCGGTAATGATACTGTTGGATGTCTGGGGCTTCAAACATGCCGAGGCAAGCCGACCAAGGATTCTGTTCATATGCAGTATGTATCAAGGGGATGGGATATACACAGCACAGCTGAAAGATAAACTGTATACACCACTGTAATTACACAACCCTCAAGTGCCCTACCTACCAACTCATCCTCCACCTCCCCACAATTACAACCATTATGTATTTGGGCTTTTCTTTGGGCTTCAGACATACTTAAAGGAGTAGCATCAATTTACACCCCGCTTTAAATCATTACATTTTTTTTAAATGGGTGAAACACACCCTTCTACTCAGTGTCCGTATTTTGGAGCAAATTAAGGAACAAACCTGAGAGCACATGGGCAGGAATATAATTTTATAGGGCCATCTCCGAAACTGTAGGAGCAGAGAATGTGTAGTTCTCTTCCCAGGAAATCTTTTCAGCTTCTAGGACACGACTCAAACGCCCCGCTAGGAGCTGCCGCTGTGAGATGGAGCCAAAGGCTCTGACAAGTGGCTTGTGTATGACCCAATATTTATCAATAACAACAACAACAAAATCAAGTGAAACCAAGGCTTGGGATTTTGAACTGACTATGAAGCCCTGGCGGATACACACGGGCGAATAAAGTCTCTGGAGACCAGTTGGCTCCATTTGTCCGCCCTGGGGAGCAATCCCAGGGCAAAATCCAGTGCTAATTGATCTCAACCAGCCGCAAGATCAGCTGTAAATGTTAGAGGGGACAAAGAAAGAGCAGTGTGCTCTAAAGATACTCTGAGCACTTTTTCAAGCAAATAGGGGCGTGTAATCAATAGCATGTACATGAATATAAAGAGAGAAAGAGAATTGCTTTAATTAATTAGGAAATAATGTTTCATGCACAATTCCAGACCTCCTCAATACCCAGATTCTCTCACTCACGAGTTATTTTGTGATCTGGACCTAGAACTCCCTCTATGAAAACCTTCGGGCCCAGTTTTGTGATGTGAGACAGTTAGTAGCGTATACTTAGCTTAATTGGGGGCCTTTCTCTCTTCTTTGGGGGTGTTTATTCTAAGGCCAAAGGGTGGGTTGCTTGGGCAGAAATCCGAGCGAGCAGAGCGCCTGGCCCTGCAGGCGGCCGGAAAGCCTTAGGCCGAGACAGCACTGGGGTGAACCTTTCTACCGCGCTGCACTCGGAGACCATGCGGCCGCCCTCAGCCAGCCGCACCGCCTGCTCTGACAAGAGCTGGGCTTCCTCTGAGTTTCCGTTTCCTAGGTGTCTCTCTTCTTTCTTATCTGACAAGTTCGCGTTCTAGGAGAAAAGAAGAGACGGAAAGCAGGAAGGAGAGAGGGAGGGAGGAGGAGAGAGAAATGGAAGGAGGAAGAGAGAGAGAGGAGGTAGAAAGAAAGACAGAAAAGAGACAGCGAGCCTCTTTGCTGTGACGGTTTGTCACAAGCTCAGAGCCAAACTTGCCCGACTGAGCTTTCATCCCAGACATGGCTTTCTTTCCCCCTACGTGTCTCAGGACAAACCCAGGAGGGAGACACCGAATTTGGCGAAACAATCCACCCGGGATTGTTTAATATACAAATGCCCCACCACCTCCGCTGTCAGTTCTGAAAAGGAACTGGGCTGTTTTAGTTTTCATTTGGTGACGGTAGCAGCTTGCTTCTGTGCCCTGCTGCATCTAGCTGGCTCTGTCGGATGTCTCCTTCCTGCATGTGGCTTCTTGGGGAGATCCGGAGAGAAGTAGTGTGTAACTGCGCTCCCCCACTGGGTTCAATACTCCTTAGTTGTTATTGAATATTCGAATTAACTTCAGCACCACGCGCTGGTATTTCAGCTCAGAGTTGTGCACTCTATCAATACAAGCTCACAACCTTTAACTGGTTTCCTCCCCGCACCACCACCCCCCCCTCCGCCCCCCGCGTTCACCATGGCAGATGACCTATAAAGCCCAAAAATATTGATCTGTTGGTGCAAACTGTTCCAGTCTGATGTGCAAAAACCAGACATCTAAGCTGAAAGTTGCCTTTTCAGAAGGGGAGGGGGGATCTGGAGATGAAACCTAAAAGCAAGGCCTCTCTCCGGCTGGATTGCACTTGGCAGGCGTGGACGACAAAGGAGCTCAGGGTGAGCGCGGAGGGAGGAGAGGAGAGCAGAGGCGTGCTGACTAGCGAGTTCGTCGTCGGCGAAGCTCAGTCGCCAGGAACCGCGGCCCCACAGCCATTGCCACCCCAAGAGGGTGGGCAGACGGGACCTTGGGCAGCCACTGGTGCCACAGGTTTTGTTCCGCCTTGGGTTGGGTAGGGTGGGGCGTGGGACGGACCTAGAAGAACCAGCACTAGAGAGCGAAGAGGCAGGTGGGTATGAACTGTGCGCATTGGTTTGTCCTGGAAGTTTTTGTGTTTGGTTGGTTGGATTTTTGTTTGTCTTGTTTTGGGGGCTTGGTTTTAATTTTTGATAAGAAAGCAGACATTTTATTAGTACTTTCTCTCCTGGACTAAGGGAGGCTTTGGGACTGAGGTTCTCCGAGTACCCTTAAGCATGCAGTTTTCCCTCTCCTGATTCCTCTCCAGACTTACAATGGGCATTAGTTAGTCCCTGTATTATATATCCATCTCTCTCTCACACAGCCCTTGGGTGCCCTACACATTCTGTTTACTGTTGAGGGCTGACTGTTTCAGAGCTGACCACCTAATAGTTGCAACTTAGTCACACCTTTTTCCCCCCAGTTTTCTTTCACAATTGCAGTTTGGGGGACCTTCTGGAAGGGTGCTTCAAAACACGGGGGATTTGATGTTTGTGTTCTCAGGAAGGTGATTCAGGCTCCCACTGAGAATCACACTGATGCTCCGAAAAACTAAGGCCAGTGATGGGATAGTTAAGGCCCCTGGGTCATAGGAGCTCTGCACTTTTCCAGCCTGCAAGCTTTTGTTTCACTGTGTGTGTGTGTGTGTGTGTGTGTGTGTGTGTGTGTGTGTGTGTGTGTGTTTATGAAATCATTTTCTTTCTTTTCCTTTCAAGATGCATTGATGGACAAACCAGGAAAGACAGCATAGTCATACATGCTGGATTGTGTAAGTCTATTTGCTTCCTTTTCAGAAAGACTAGGATGGGGTGGGGAAGAACTAGGAAACACAGCCTTGTCTTCCAGTTCCAGTTCTGGGACCATACTACTTCCCCTCTCTCTCTTCTCTCTCCAGTCTTTCCTGTCCTCTTGGAAAGTAGACTGCACTGATTCCTTGGGCTACTAGGAGAAAATACAGACACTCACTTTTCAGGGCTGGCTTGCCCAGCTGGCATGTGAGAGAATTTCTCCGAATTGGATCTGATCTGCAAGTGGAGCAAAGCCTCCCTTCTTACTTATCAGGGGCTCCAACTTCTTAAACTACCCACTCTCAAAAGTCCCAAGCTGCTGGCAAATAGCAGAAAACACATAAAAGGGCAGCAGGCCTTCCTATTCACCAGAGATGCTCGGGTAGTCTACAGAGAAGTTGTTCAGAGAAACTCAAGGGGTCTTGGCTCTAGGATGATGACATTATGCTGTGAGTCTCTCTGGGGTTGGTGGCACCAGGAGTTTTGGGGTGCCAGTGGATCTGGCTCCACTACACATGGGACACATGGCTATGTCAAAGAGATGTGCCCAGAGAACTCCATGGGTTTCCATGAAGACTACTTCCCTCCTCTTCTTCCTCCTCCTTTTAACTTTCTGGTTTCTGAAGTGGTTCCCTAGCTTACAGAAGTTAAACATTTCGACTCTCAAATATGAGGCTCTCCCATAGATTTTTTTTTTCCTCAAGGTTCTCAAGCAAAATTGCCGGTGCCACAATGTTATGATGGAAGGATGCTGAAATGACAGCCCTAGTAGACGCTTGTCTTAATCATCGGCTTCTTAATTTAGTTTTAGAGCTGTGTGTGTGTGTGTGTGTGTGTGTGTGTGTGTGTGTGTGTGTGTACCCACTCCCCGCACATATGCGCGCCCTCGAGGACATTAAGGGTGCGCGCATGAGCCTGCAGAGAGCAGCCTCTGACAACCTGCAGCTCCCTAATGAGTGACGAGGCAGGGCTGCTGAGGAAAAGTAACACTTCCCTGGTGTGAAGACCTCTTACTGAGAAGTTTAGTTCACTACTGTTCTCGCAAACCTAATCGTATAACCTGTAACCAAAACCCACAGAACAAGGCTACAACAGCTAAAGAGTAACTTCTAATCACTAAATGTTAGCACCATTACCTGCTGTTAGGCAGCGATTACAGACAAGTTGACTCTAGGGAGGGCGGACTTCATTTGTTACAGACTCTCTCGAAAATACCTGGATGTCTCAGCATGGTATCTGCTGACTCCCACGTGTCAAGGGGTCACAAACGGTCCTGTGCATTTGTAAGAAGAGAACTTTAGCTAGAGTTTGTCCCTGCTCCCAAGGGAAAGGTGGAGATAGATAATATGGCCCACCCTTGTTACTAGAAGGCAAGGAGGCCCAAAGCAAAGAACTGTCCCCAAGGAAGACAAATGCAACATCCACCCTCAGAAAGGAAATGAAAATGAGCTGCTCCCTGCTCAGATGAAGTACACTGTGGAGTCTTGGAGGTTAATTAAAAATCTAGAAGAAATAATCTAATTCATTTCCCAAGACACTCTTCCATTGGAATTGCTCACCATACAATTCTTGTCCTCTTTTGGGGGTGGGTGGGTGGTGAATGAAAGCTGAGGCCTACAAGTTCACCACTATGTAAACCAACAAGTCGCATTTGCTCTGATATGCTGTTATATCCACTACTTCACGAACACTACCCATTTGCAGATTCATAAGCGTGAGGTTAAATTGATTAGAAGGGAAACTTGTCCTGATGGGGGACTTTGTTTCCGGTCCGAGACCACTGGCTGCCTGCCCTGTCTTCTGAAGGTAATCACAGAGGCTGAGGAGGCCTTTATGTGCTGAGAGAGAGGCCCATGGTGGACGTGGGCAGGACTTCAAATCCAATTTGCACCCAAATTGGTTGGTAGGATATACAAAGCCCCATCCAGAGACTTTCAGCTTCACCATACTTTGTCCAGAAGCCCCTTCCCCCTCTGTTACAGCTCACAGCAGATCTAAAAAGAAACCATTGCTGATACAAATATAAGCCGCTGAGTAAACAGTGCACATTTTGTTGAAGAAGGCTGATATAAATATATCTGTGTGCATTCTGATATATAGTCCCATCTCATCATAAAGAGCAATTAAAATTATTTAAGGGGATTCAAACTTACTTTTTCGGAAATTACAAATAACCTTTGCATCAGGAAACTAGTTTTAATATTATATCAAACTGTATTCTATAGTTTTACTGTAAAACGCCCTATTTTGAGAGATTTGCATTCATGCAACCTTAAAATAACACAGCACATCCTTAATTTGCATGCAAAAACATTTTCCAGGCCACTATAAGCATTGACATATAAAATCAGATTGTTGCAGCTCTTACTTCACAAAACCCAGTTTTTGCTTTTTGAAAGTAAACAGAAGAAAACCTTATTTCGCCTGCTAATTTCTTCTACAGGGTAACAAAACAATGCACACTTAGCTTTAACCTAAGAAGCACCTCAAAACATTAAAAATTCATCAGTCAGAGCTGGTGTTGTATTCAAGGAACACTCCTCCAGTTCACTGCTGAGCTCAGATTGGAATAAAATGTCCAATGTTAACAAACAATACCCACGTTTGGCACTTTGTGTATTAAATTGATCAAACAGATTTTAGGAGACACAATGCACAATTTGTACAGACCTGATTGAGTTAATATAATATCAGCAAATTTTACATCGAAATGATTCTGTTTCTTTTCTTTGTGTTTAAAACCAGCACAGATTACAAATTTTAATGATCTGAAAATGTTTGGTATACAAAATCATGCTTATTTCAGTATTAGCAAAAACACAAGAAATTTTTCAACACAAACACCCAGCTGTGTCTATTTTAAAAGCAGTTCAATGACAGCTTGCACTTATGAGCATGCAATCAGCTAATTTCGCTTTTTTTTTCTTCTGTGTTAATCAACACTTTCCTTCCTGCATATCAGAGTACAAATAGTATAGTTACTCCACATCAGTAAATGTTTACGTAACCTGTCCTTTCCCAAGAATCCGGTTACACCGAATCATTTCACGCTAGACCGACTACGAAAACGTACCGGGCCGTCCACCTCAGAGGGAGCCCCGAGAGCCATTATAAGCGGTGGTGAGAAGGGGGGCTGGGGGGATGGGGAGGAGTAGGTGGAGGAGCGGAGGGGAGAGGAAAGGAGGGAGGGAGGAGGGGTGGGTGAGCGAAAAGAGAAGGCGGAAGAGGGGAGGAGGAAGGAAAGCCAGCCAGTTGAGGAACCACTGTGAAGAATGGGCCTGAGGAGGAGAAAGGGTGGCAGGGGAAGTGAACCGGACGACTCAGGCTCACAGATCTCTAGCTGGGTTGGCAAAGGCCACTGTCTCTCCAGGCTTCTGTGAGAAACCCCAAGCTTAGAAATCAACCTTTGGCGCCGCGGATGTGGCTTGCAAAGTTGATTGCTAGAACCCTGGAATTTTTCTTCATGCATAGCTTATTTTAAAGTAAGCGGATATGTAGAAAGAGATCCAACCGGTGGAAGGATATTCGGGGACAAATGTTCAAAGATCCCTTACAACATTCCTGTTTATAATTGTGTATATTATTCTCTCCAAAGTTTCTCTGTCCTTTCTTCCCCTGTCCCCGCGCCCCATTTCAAAGTTGGGGGTGGGAACAGTGGGATAGCTCCCTATTATTTTGAGTATTCATCTATTACATTTTTATGCTAGATTTTAACGTCACACATAGGCCCTGCTTTTTCTCCCTCCATTTAAAAAAAAATATCAAGTCTGCCAGATCATTTAGCTAAGAGCTCATCAAAGTGAAGAATGCTTGCATGGTTGGAGTATTTTACCTTAAAGAGGAGGGGAAAGGTACTCGTGACCTATGCGTCTCCACCTCCCTCTTCTCTCGGGCTAATACCTCCTTACAACGTGGCGTGCTTCGAGCCTGTGAGGGCTGAGACGCTTCTGGTCTGTGTGCTCCGCACTAAATTCCAATCCCTGGGAAATGCTGGGCCTTAGCCCTGGCCCTGGCCGCGCGATCCTTTTAAAGCCCTTGAATCCCAAGCTATCCACTCATTTCAACCTCCTCACCAAACCATCCCTAATCCCCAGAAGCCAGGACCGTCTAATCCACGTTCCCCAGGCTCCCAAGAGCATTCCAGCGGCATCCAGGAAGGGCAAGAGCTGATTTCGACATACTGAGGTTTCAAGATTGAGGTTTTAAAGCAATAAACCATTTGTGACATGGGGGTAAAGGAGCAAAGATAGGATTTTAAAAAAAAAAATGAAAAAAGGAAGTAGACGCCCACTGTTATATTTTCTTCCATGTTAAGCAAAATGAAAATATTTCCAGGGTGATCGATCGCGGCTACCAGCTTCCAGGACTGCCTAGAAGCTGAAGAGGAGGTGGGGTGCCGAGGAGAAAACGCCACCCGGTCACCCGCGCGTGAGCGCGAATCTTGCAGTGAAGAGAGACATACGGAGCGCGCACGTGTTACCTGCTTTATTTCGGGACTGTTTGGTACTGTGTTCGCGCTGGGCAGCTCTCCGCCCGGAAGGCCGCCCCCGCACGCCGCCCTCAGCCCCGCTTCGCGGCCGGCCGAGCTCGCCCAGGGCCTCAGAAACCAGTAAGTACCGGCCTGGCCGCGGCCACCCCCGCCCCATTTCCCAGGCCAGGCTCCCCCGAAAGCCGGCTCTCCCCGGCCGCTGGCCCATCCGCTCCGAGGGCGCTTCCCCGGCTGCGGCGTCTCTAAGGTTCACGCCCTCTCCCGCACCCGCACAGCTCGCCCCTCCGCCGCGCCCCCGCTCTTGGAGACAAAATTGGATACAAACTTTAATCAATAAGGATAAATATTGACGCGCAAAGGAAAATAATCCCATACAAGGGAGGAGGCCGCAGGCGAGCGGCCGGGGCCCGGGGCGCACGCCCCGCGCTAATCCTGGCCGGGTGGGCGAGCTCCCGCCGATCCCCGCGCGGCTCCGGGGTCCGGGCCCCGCCAACCCGGAGGGGGCAGGCACAGGGGGCGGGGCCGGGGCGGGGCGGGGGTGGGCGGGCCCTGGGCCGCCGATTGGTCGACGGCCAGCCAGACGCTCCCGCACGCCGCCGCCGCTGATTGGTGCAGCGGTAGGAAAGGTTAAACCAAAAATTTTTTTACAGCCCTAGTGTGCGCCTGTAGCTCGGAAAATTAATTGTGGCTATAGCCGCCTCGATCGCTGTCTCCCAGCCTCGCCGCGGCCGCTCCGGGACGCGCCCGCCCGCCGCCCGGCTCTCCCCCCCTTCGGGCTGCCGCTGCTGCTGCTGTGACTGCTGCGGCGCGAGGAGGAGGAGGAGGAGGCAGCGGGGGAGGGGGAGGCCGGGCGCGGAACGGAGCGGGGCGCTGCACCCCGGGCGGCGGGTTGCTTCTGCCTCTTGCTTTTTTTCTTTTCTCTCTCTCTCTCTCTCTCTCTCTCTCTCTCTCTCTCTCTCTCTCTCTCTCTCTCTCTCTCTCTCTCTCTCTCTCTCTCTCTCTCACATCTCTCTCTCTCTCTCATCTCTCGCTCTCTCTAATTCTTGAGGGGTGGTTGCAGCTTTTGCTACATGCCTTGCCAGCGCCGGAGCCTGCGGTCCAACTGCGCTGCTGCCGGAGCGCTCAGTGCCGCCGCCGCCGCCGCCGCCGCCGCCACCCGCTCCCCCCCCGCGCCCCGCTTCGAACCTACCGGCCGCCCGCCGCGCCGCTACCCGGCTACCGCGCCGCCGCTGCCGCTGCCGCCGCTGCCGCCGCCGCCGCCGCCGCCCCCCGACGCCTGGGTGATGCTGGACATGGGAGATAGGAAAGAGGTGAAAATGATTCCCAAGTCCTCGTTCAGCATCAACAGCCTGGTCCCCGAGGCCGTCCAGAACGACAACCACCACGCGAGCCACGGCCACCACAACAGCCACCACCCCCAGCACCACCACCACCATCACCACCACCACCACCCGCCGCCGCCCGCGCCCCAGCCGCCCCCGCCGCCCCAGCAGCAGCAGCAGCCGCCGCCGCCACCCCCGGCCCCGCAGCCCCCGCAGGCACGAGGAGCCCCGGCCGCCGACGACGACAAGGGCCCGCAAACCGCTTCTGCTCCCGCCACCCGCCGCCCTGGACGGGGCCAAGGCCGACGCGCTGGGAGCCAAAGGCGAGCCGGGCGGTGGGCCCGCCGAGCTGGCGCCCGTCGGGCCGGACGAGAAGGAGAAAGGCGCGGGTGCCGGGGGGGAGGAGAAGAAGGGGGCGGGCGAGGGCGGCAAGGACGGGGAGGGGGGCAAGGAGGGCGACAAGAAGAACGGCAAGTACGAGAAGCCGCCGTTCAGCTACAACGCGCTCATCATGATGGCCATCCGGCAGAGCCCGGAGAAGCGCCTGACGCTCAACGGCATCTACGAGTTCATCATGAAGAACTTCCCTTACTACCGCGAGAACAAGCAGGGCTGGCAGAACTCCATCCGCCACAACCTGTCCCTCAACAAGTGCTTCGTGAAGGTGCCCCGCCACTACGACGACCCGGGCAAGGGCAACTACTGGATGCTGGACCCGTCCAGCGACGACGTGTTCATCGGCGGCACGACCGGCAAGCTGCGGCGCCGCTCCACCACGTCTCGGGCCAAGCTGGCCTTCAAGCGCGGGGCTCGCCTCACCTCCACCGGCCTCACCTTCATGGACCGCGCCGGCTCCCTCTACTGGCCCATGTCGCCCTTCTTGTCCCTGCACCACCCCCGCGCCAGCAGCACTTTGAGTTACAACGGCACCACGTCGGCCTACCCCAGCCACCCCATGCCCTACAGCTCCGTGTTGACTCAGAACTCGCTGGGCAACAACCACTCCTTCTCCACCGCCAACGGGCTGAGCGTGGACCGGCTGGTCAACGGGGAGATCCCGTATGCCACTCACCACCTCACGGCCGCTGCGCTCGCCGCCTCGGTGCCCTGCGGCCTGTCGGTGCCCTGCTCCGGGACCTACTCCCTCAACCCCTGCTCCGTCAACCTGCTCGCGGGCCAGACAAGTTACTTTTTCCCCCACGTCCCGCACCCGTCAATGACTTCGCAGACCAGCACGTCCATGAGCGCCCGGGCCGCATCCTCCTCTACGTCGCCGCAGGCCCCCTCGACCCTGCCCTGTGAGTCCTTAAGACCCTCTTTGCCAAGTTTTACGACAGGACTGTCCGGGGGACTGTCTGATTATTTCACACATCAAAATCAGGGGTCTTCTTCCAACCCTTTAATACATTAACATCCCGGGGACCAGACTGTAAGTGAACGTTTTACACACATTTGCATTGTAAATGATAATTAAAAAAATAAGTCCAGGTATTTTTTATTAAGCCCCCCCCCCCCATTTCTGTACGTTTGTTCAGTCTTTAGGGTTGTTTACTATTCTAACAAGGTGTGGAGTGTCAGCGAGGTGCAATGTGGGAGAATACATTGTAGAATATAAGGTTTGGACGTCAAATTATAGTAGAATGTGTATCTAAATAGTGACTGCTTCGCCATTTCATTCAAACCTGACAAGCCTATCTCAAAAGGCTGCCAGATTTCCATGTGTGCAGTATTATAAGTTATCATGGAGCTATCTGGTGGACGCAGGCCTTGAGATCAACCTAAATTATGGAGAGAGTTTAAAAAAAATGTTAAACTGTAATTTGTATTTAAGAATTTGTAGTAAAGGTGCCCAAGAAATTATATTGGCCATTTATTGTTTTGTCCTTTTTCTTTAAAGAACTGTTTTTACCTTTTGTTTACTTTTAGACCAAAGATTGGATTTTAGCAAATGCACTTGGTATACTAAGTATTAAAACAAACAAACAAACGAAAAAGCAAAGTTGTTTAGTTGGCAACACTGCCCATTCAATTGAATCGGAAGGGGACAAAATTAAGGATTGCCTTCAGTTTGTGTTGTGTATATTTCGATGTATGTGGTCACTAACAGGTCACTTTTATTTTTTCTAAATGTAGTGAAATGTTAATGCCTATTGTACTTATAGGTAAACCTTGCAAATATGTAACCTGTGTTGCGCAAACGCCGCATCAATTTGAGTGATTGTTAATGTTGTCTTAAAAATTTCTTGATTGTGATGCTGTGGTCGTATGCCCGTGTTTGTCACTTACAAAAATGTTTACTATGAACACACAGAAATAAAAAAATAGGCTAAATTCATATAGATCTTGATATTTTTGTCTCTTTTATTAAGTAGAGCTAATTTGCCAGATACCATTCAATTTATAGGTAATTCGAAAGCTTTTTTCAGCCAAGTTGGAGTTTAAGCTGCTCCTTTAATTTCAACTGAGACCAAAACTGAGAATAGTATCCTTTTTTTCCCCTCTTTGTGAAACAATTTTACCAGGAGCAGGCTACTTAATTAATGCTAGCTTTAAATGAAATATAGGCTTTTCAGCTGATATCTTTGTTTTTGTAGATATACAGCAAAAAAGACATTCAATTTTATGTGTATAGCTGTTTATTTTGTGCTTATTTTAAATTCAGTTGATAGAATGCCCTTTATATATATATTGTTCCAGGTATCTTGTTCATAGAACTTGGCAAATTATAAATAAATATATGTATATAGTTAGAAGTGAATAATGAACACATTATATATGTGTGTATATATACACATATATACATATGTATACATATGTATATATGTGTATATATATCCCTTCAGTTCAGGTACAAGTTGCGCTATGAATGCTGCAAACATTTTTGTTAAATATTTGTATTTATACTTTCTAAGTCAGCATTTATTTTTGTGGCTGTTTACCCACAATGAACGAATTCTAATAAAGATGTGCTGAGTTGCAATGTAGAGCTTGCTGAAGTGATCACCTGTTGTAATGACTCACAGATGGATATTGATATTTAAATTTTTAATTACAACAATTTAAAATTCTAGTTACTCAGAGTAAAATACCCCATCTCCCCTCTCCATTTTTACAACACAGAGGTATTTGTTTGATTCTCTTTTCAATATATTTGTATAATTTAATTTACAGACATGTTTCTTTTGCTTAAATTGAATCATTTTTGCTTTAAGTGCAGTATGCATATATAAGAGATACATTGCATGTGTATATATATGCATATATATGAAACAAAATGAAAACTTTTTCAATTGTTTCAGACAGCCCACTTGCTATAATTCCAGAAAATAATTAGAAAACCCGAGTTAAAGGTTCAGTAATTAATTGGATCCTGTGGTGATTCTGTGGAAGACAAGTTGTTCATTTGTTACATCTGTATAGTCTGAAATGTGTTCTGCAGTAGTGCAATAAGCTGGCCACTTCTTACAATGGGCCCAGTGAAAAATAATCTGTCCCTAAGATGTTATCAGCAAACACTTAGAGAGTCGCTCAGGGAAGGGGTGGGGGTGACTAGTGGAGAAGCAGGTTAGCTAAAATTGATTTGAAAGTCAGAATAGCTGATGTTGGAAAATGGAGGTGGCTGGATTGTGAATGGAGAGAGGAAGAAAGGGAGGGAGGGAGGGAGGGAGGGAGAGAGAGAGAGAGAGAGAGAGAGAGAGAGAGAGAGAGAGAGAGAGAGAGATCTATCCCAGGAAATTTTGAAAAGCTGGAATCAAATTTAGAAGAGAGGGATAGGCAAAAATAGACTGAGATGACTAGTTGGAGTATCTCCTTTAGGGAGACAAGATTTTGTTTTCTTAATGTGAGAATAGATTCACCTTAGATATAAGTTTCTTGAAATCTAACAGTTGTTTAAAGTGAATCACAAAAGGAAAGTACCACAAATTACTGTTAAAAAAAAAAAAAAAGGAGAAGGCCAGTGTGGGCTTAGGCACAGGAAATCTTCATTGAGAGGCAAACTAGCTTGGAGAAAGGCCTACATTTAGGCTGGGGGAAAAGATGATGATTTATTGCTTGCTTCTGTTATGGGTTTTATGTATGGAATGACTATATACTATCACAGAGGAAATGCAGTATTGCAAAAGCTGAAAAGAAACTGAATTCACATAGTAAAGCTAAAAGATAGATACTGAAAGAAACATTTTTATGTGTATTTTCCCTCTGGCCAAAGTAAATTAACTATCTATACTTATTGGTAATTTTATGAAATGTTTATCTAGAAGATAGAGAAATACAATTTCAATGGCAACTTTTTGTACTTTCAAGTCTTTTTAAAGACTTCTTAAATTCATGGAACTAAGTATTGGAGTAGTGCTTTAGCACATGTCTAATTTACATATGTAGTGGATATGATCAGAAATTAGTTTATTAGGCTTCCTAGACATGAAAAAGAATATATGGAAAGAGAAGTTGGTAACGGCTTTCTGAAGCCCACTGTGTGAACACTTATTTCATTTATCCCGATCTAGCCTCCCCTCCCTCTTGATACCCTCTTTTAAAAACCACAATCTGGTATGTCATTGGTACATTTAGTTTTGCTTCAGACTGGTGGTTACAATGTTTTACTGTGTTGTCACCAACGGCTGCAGGTTACAGTTAGTTCATTCCAGACCAACATTGCTAAAACTTTTTGATGATTATTTTCTTTCAAACTTATAATTGCTTAAGATGAAATGGAGGCTGCCCTTTTTTGAAATTTTGGAAAAGAAAATGATCACAATTTAAACATTGAAACTACAAATGATAATATTATAGATTTAGTGTTTTACTTTAATTGACATAATTGAAAGTTAACACAATTGTTACTACATAAACACAGAAGAATGATAAAAATATAGCAGTGAAGGAGTTTCTTCATCTAGTTGCAAAATTGGAAATTGGGTAAATCTGAAACTGTTCAACATAAGTGTCCTTCTGGTCAAAGTACTCTTCCAGAGGCTTCTATGCCTGGAATCACAGCAAGGGCAGTGAGGGGGGAAAAATGTCTTGAAGTGTATTGATTATAATATGTATTCAAGTTGGTCCATATTTTACTCCAGTAGATGGGTTAAAGCAAATATATTAGAATTCTATATGAAAGTATGATATTTTTTTTACAACGTGTATTTTCTACTTTCTCACTGAGGAATTTGCATGCATTGAAATAATTTTAATTTTGATGAATTAGTTTTGTCAACAGCTAATGTAGTTGGTTGTTTTTGAGGCTGAAAGCCTGCTGGAGAGTGAGGTTAACAAAGGGTGAAGGTGATGATCACTAGAGCTTTTAGGGCTAGCTGAGACCCGGCTGCTGAGGTTGTGTAACTGTGCCTAGAGGGCGGGGTTCCTGTACGTTCCTACTTCAGCAGACAACCTGCCCCCAGCACCGCTCCAATTTCTGCCAGACAGATGGAAAGCTCCAAAGGAAAAATCTGCGCAGCCCTTCCAAGAAGCAGGGTAGGTGAACATTAAATTTTACATTTCCCTCGCATTCTGCTTCTACTCCAGGCCGGATCCTGGAGTTACAAAAAGAATAAGGGTCATCTAGATTCTCTTTCACAAAAATGTGCCCGAATTCTTCCTACCTGTAAGAGTTAAAAGACGTTAGAAATCTTCCAGTTAGCTAAAAAACTCCATTTTCGATTTTTTTTGCTTCCGATTTCCCGCTTTTTTTCTCACCCCAATTGTCCTGCCTTACCATTCCTCCACGAACCCCTCCCCCAACCACCAATAGTTAAAAATAAGCCATCTTTTAGCTCCTCAGTTGACCGTTTTCCTCACTCCATCGGTGGGTTCTTGGAGACCTTGTCCTGGGAAGGTAGGCCCAGGGGCTCTGGGCTGCGAATATATGACGTAGTGTTATGTTTTGTCTTCCTCCCTCCCGATTTGGTGCCCCCCACTCCCCCACCCCCATCCAAGGTTCTGCTTGATGTTGTCGGAAGGCTGTGGAGGCGAAGGACTTGAGAACCGTGAACACTCTCACCCAGCGATCGGTAAGTCAGAGTCCTCTTTGCCTCACTCGGTGGTGGTGGGTGGTTAGGCTGCTGTGGACCGACCCTTAGATCCAGACTCTTGTACGCTTAAGTGTTACTTTTTTTTTTTCTTCCTCACTTGGAAATTGTTCTTGGTGAGTGGATTCCAACAGCCATAGGTGGAAGAATGCATGATTTGTCCACGTGAGCAGAAATCATGGTGGATGCCTAGGTAAAAAGGATTTAGACATTTCAAAGGAGGAAGAAAAGAAGATAAGTGTATATGGAAAAGGCAACGGGAGACTGTAACAGGTTCAGAAGTTGTAAGGTTATTCGTTTAATGGAAATAGGATTTCTGAATGTCATAGCTGCTTCAGAGAACGAGGGAATTTAATGTTCAAACTAGGGATTATTTACCCTCGGCAACAAGATGAAGCTCTTTATAATCAGAAACATCTCTCTCTCTCTCTCTCTCTCTCTCTCTCTCTCTCTCTCTCTCTCTCTCTCTCTCTCTCTCTCTCTCTGTGTGTGTGTGTGTGTGTGTGTGTGTGTGTGTGTGTGTGTGTGTGTGTGTGTGATGCTGTCCTCGCTCCTATTTTCACACTGGCATTGCCGGTCTCACTCCAGTACGGCCCTCTCTCACCAGCTCCTTGGCCTAGGTCAAGCTAGGGTAGGCAGGACTAAGAGGATCTATCTGCTCCAGGTCGAGTTCAGCGCCGGTTTAAGGGCAGGAGACTTCTTGGTCTCTTGGAAAAACTAGGGAAATGAGCACCGTTCTGGGCTTGACTTTGTCCCTGCTGGGAATAGCTCAGTTCCCGGCTTTGGAAATCTCAGGCAAATAATTGATTTTTAATACACACTTAGGAGCCGGCGCTCTAGGCTCCAGAGTCTGGCTGTCCCAGGGTGGCTGCAAGCGCGCCAGACTCTGGCTGGCTCCTCCCGAAGCTCCCGAGAGGCCGGGCTGCGGTGTAGGCATGGCCTGCCCGGTGCCTCGGGGCTCCGATTGACTTTGGAGGGGGAGCAGGGGCGGGACTCCTAGTGGAGAGGCACGGGTCTGCCGGCGGCGTTGTGGTCTCAGGTTTGGGACTATCAGCAGAACGTGAACCGGTGCTGCAGAGCTAGCTGGGGCCGCTCGGCAGCTAGGCTTTTGGGTGTGGGTCCCCGCTCGGGTCCCCGCCGCCTGCCTGCCTGCCTAGGGAGCCGCGCTGCCGGCGAGCCGCAACGCGAGGGCGCTCTAGCCCAGCACACGGTCGCCGCGGGGGGGAACCGGCCTCCCGAGCCGAGGCCGCGTGCGTCCCAAACCTTTCCCTTCTTTCTTAGACTTCTTTGATCGCTCCCCGTCTCCCTAGAAGTTGTTAGTCTTTGTTTGCCAGGTGCGGTTTCAGATCTCAGCACTCACCCGGTGGTTGGTAAAAACTGATTTTACAATAGCTCTCTATCTCTTCTGTCTGGTTCTCCGTTTCTGCCCACGCCTCCGGGTGTTTTGGAAGGAGCCTCCGGGTGGGAATTTCCTGAACGCTAGGAGCAGCCTGGAGTTGGGGGAGACAAAAGCCGGGTTGGGGAGCAGATTCCCGCAGAAACGCGGAGATTTGCTAGGAATTACCTTCCTTTCGGAAGAACTGGACGGAAAAGATGAGGAGGGATGCGGAAGGATGCTTCCACCTGCACCTCCCACCTCCCTCTTCCAACAGTCATATTTAGTGGTTAAGCCTTCACACCGCTACATCCCGGCCCTTTAGCAAAACTTAAAATAGGCAGAAATTCCAAGACTGATCAGAGGAGTTACTTGAGATCATAACAGATAACGGAGAATTCTGTATGTGAAGCTGTCAGGAGAGACGATGGAATGCTCCACACCTCTCCCGGCCCTGTGGCCTACAGTGTTTAACCGTCTTTGGCATTGCGGGGAAAGCCGCACAGGAGGAAAGAGCCTGTAGCTTTTGGCGAGATTTGTAACTTCTGGTGGGTATGAAAGAGCATGTTCAATAACTACACGTTTGGATATTCATTTTCAGCTAGAGTTGCATTTTCCTATTTGCTAGCTTCTCGTGGTTGAAATAGCTTTCCTTCTTCCTCTTCGTGTCCTCTCACTGCTTCACTCTTTGTGTGCTTTAAGGAGCAATGGTATCTCCCTGCATAGGCGGATTTTGTTTATTTGCTTGTTTGTTTTAATTCCTTTGATTGAAGAGGAAGACTGAAAACTGTAATGGGGTTAGAGAGAATTGTGTCTCCGTTGGTTCTTTCATTTTCTCATGACTCTGAAATTTAATGACCTAATCATTGTTGTTTGAAGTTAAATTATCTGTTAAATTAGCCCTAAACAATAACTGATGATATTTTCCTTTTGGGTCTGGTTGCCCCTGAATTCTTGGCCATAGGTGGATATAACAGGAGTCAAGGAAAATTCTTGATTGTGCACTATTATAAAAATAATCAGACTCAAGGTTTATGTACGGCGATGTTAGAGACAAAAATTTTTTCAAGATTAATTGGGCTTTATAAATTGGAAATTCTTTTTAGAACATGTGCTTGAGAAAGCTAGACTTAAGCATGAATGTGAATGAGCATTTCTGTAGATATAAACACAATTCCCACTTACTGTCCAGAGACAAAAATCTGAAAGGGTTACATACCCCTGGCGGCTTATAATTTCTCACAAAAAAAAATTGACTGTAGGAAAACCTGCAATATTGTTTTAGATGTAAATTCTAGGAATCTGAAGTATAGCTATTTCTTTGAGTCTGACATATGTTCACTCTACATTTATGGTAAGAAACAATCTCAAAATAGTGCAGATTCCCCCCCCCCCCCCCCGCCCCTTTTTCTATAAAGCTTATGTAGGCTGAGGCTCAGGAGAGAGGATTTTCATGATATTGAGAGATCAACACCTTTCTCCTTTACTATAAGAGGTAGCTAAAGCATCTTTAAACCCAATAGTATCCAAGTATCTGAGAAAACTTTGAAAATAAGAAGTACTATTGTGTTTGTCCTATGAAAATGTTCTGAATGAATAATTAGATACTGGGATGAATGTTGAGAAATTCAGAGCAAGAATAAGGTGGTAATTTTATTATTTAATACTTTGATAATTTCTATAATTAATGTTGTGGTTTTAAAGGTTGGCAAAGCTTTCTTATATATAAAAAAAAAGTACTCTGCTGACCTTATCAAAAATATTCTGGGAATAATTAAGTAGAATCAGATAGAATTGACAGTAGGTATTGCTTGTTTCTTTATTTATCTGTTTTTTTTTTCCTGAGAATAAATACTGTTAATTAAACATGGTGAACTCTGATTGCAGGTTGGAAGACTAAAATCGATCGTTTCTGCATCAATAGTGTTATGTATTACTACATTGATTTGTGTTTATTTATGCAGAGGTTTCAGCTCTTTGCTTCCATATTTCAGCGTGTCCCTCTTTAATTTTATCACACATTACTTTTAACGAAAGAGTTTACTGTAGGAAGCGAAACACACGTAACCGGTCCATTTTTAAGTACACCTATAAAATATATGTCAGTTCTGGGAGTGTGAGCAGTTTACAAAATTGTTTATTCATACTTGACTGTTAGCAATTAGAAACCTGCTTCTGCTTAAAAACCTCATGCTGCTTAAAAGCTTCCATTCCTTTCTTCACACATTGTATTGATGTGTTTCGATAAGGTAGAAAACATGATTTGGTGATCTTAGGTTTAGTAGAACGAAGCTCATGAATAAGATATCATTTTCAATTGGCATGGCTGGGTTAGCCTTACAAAAATAAGCTTACCATGAGGTTTCAGCAGTGCTTTTTTATGAGAAATCAAGGAGGAATCATTTAAATATAGATATTGGACATGAATTTTAAAACAAGTGCTAACTCCTAAATATGCCAGGGATCCTTATGCAGAAGATACCATTATGAATCCTTATATATTAAATACGTGTACACATATATATTCTATTAGTGTGCATGTGTTATTACATCCTTTGAAGATAGCCATGCCCTTTACACTATTACAGCACATGGATAGTATGTACCAGAATTCATCTCAAAACAAAATAGGAAAACTTGACTCAGTGTGTTCGTTATAAGTACAAGGCAGGAGGAGGAGTTGAGATGCACCCATGTTTGTGGTCCCCTGTAGCCATTCCAAAACACTGAAAAGTTTTGCTTGAAAATTAAAAAAACAAAAACAAAAAGTGGCCTACCTTATTGAGGGCTATTTAATATTTAATCTGCAGGACTTTTCTCAGTATGGAGGACCAGTCCTTCCTCCTTAACAGTTGGGGTACAACTACTAAAAGCATACACGGATTTTATTTTTCTTATTCATTTGCTATAACCAACATCCCTCCTAGTGAATGCAAGGTATACAGAAAACAAATGTATTCCAAATCATTTTTGAGATCAAAGGGACCTTGGGAGATGGAAAGGGAATTCCTTTTTCCTCAGTAGTTGTCCATGGAACAGAGAGGGACCACAGGCAGAAAGAAGGTGGGCCATCCTAGGATCTAAAGTTTTGCAGAAGGTTGAAAGGGAAAGAGAGCAGGGAGGGAGGGCTGCCTTTGTTTGTTTCCTTTTCCTGTTCCTTGTCAAGTCTTTGAAGCTAGGTAGTGGTGTGGCTGTAGTAGAAGCTAGCGCTCTAAGCTTTCCAAGGAGGTTGAGATTCCTGAGTCTCCTGTGTTGAGCAGGCCTTACCAGCCAAGGCACTCCTCAGCAACCCCTCCCCTAGTCTTTCACGCAGGCACCAGCTAGTCCTCACGTGCGTGGTGTAGTGGACAGTGTTGACTTGAATTGCTCTCTGGATGCAAGCCTTTCCTGTGAATGAACCCGAAAACACTCGACAGGTCGTGAATAATCGTTTTAATGAGTGTGCAAAGTGTGCGACGGGGTGCACCGAGTTGTCGGGTTAAACAAACAACTTGTACTCTGACCAAATCGGATTGTTAAAGTGCAAAGTGATGTCAGTAGCATTCCCACTGCCTTTCGGAAATCCACAGATCTGACACGCAGGAGTCCAATTTTCCCCATTAAAGAA